CTACTTTAATTATTTCTCATCAACCAAACACATTAATAAGATGTTTACAAAAAGTTATAATTTTGTCCAGATTTATTTTAAATATTTAAATTTTTTTTTTTCAACTGATATCTTAAGAGTTTGAAGAGAACCAATTCTGCAAAGTAATGTAGATGAAAACACTTCAGCCAGAATACCAACAAATACTAACCTTACACCATTTTCTTCAACTTCAATATCAGGAGCCAAAAAATATGGCAAGGGATTTGGCCACATGTCATCTTTGATAACCTGGAAAAAAATATATATATATATATATATATAAAAAAAAAAATAATCAAAAAAAGGGTTTAATTTAGAGATGTGAATGACAATATTTTATTCTTTTCAAGTAGTATTTTTTTTTCTTTGCTTGAAGCTGGACTTAGTTGTCAGAAGCTATTGAGACACATACCTTGGAAGCATTTTATAAACAGTGGAAGATCCACCCCTTACCATCAGTGGCTATGACAACTTTTGGAAGAGTACATGTTTTAGAAAGTTAAAAATGAACAATTTAAGATAAAAAAACAAATACAGAAAAGCCCAGTAACTGGGGAAAGAGAATTGAAAGAAACAATATTCAATCATTGTCTAAAGTACTGTGAGGCACACCCACATGCAAATACTCTGAAATCAGAGAGGTCTTGTGTGTCCCAGTTTAGGGTTTGCTCAAACCATCATACTAAGCCAGAGATGCCCACTAAGCAGAGGAACCAGTTCATTCCTTTAAGACTGCATATGAGATGGATTTGTTTTGGAAATTTTCTAAATTTTTCTTAAAGAGACAATACATACAAGGCAGCAGGTGGTTTGAATTCAGAGTTTTTTTCCTTCACTTAGACTGGTTGCCAACCAAAGTTATATGACCCAGACTATCCTGCTATTTACCCAATCATGGAAAGGATGCAAGATGGATTCATCTCTTTCCCCAAGAGCATTAGCACTTAAGTGAATGCAATGAACTTGGTGGGAATTTGAATGAAGCTCTCTCAATTCCTCAATTGAAGCCACCATCCATTACTCCACTGGGTCTCCCACAATATGGGTGTGTATATATATATATATATATATATATATATATATATATATATATATATATATATATATATATCTCATAACCCAACAAATGAAATAATTGTGAATTATATTAAAAATATACTTTTTTAACATTTTTTTTTTTTTTTTTTTAAAGCTTCAAGAGAAAAAAAGTGGCATCTCTAGTTCAGAATGCCATATATAAATATAACACAGCTGTTTGAGGTTTCCTACAGACCCACTGAACTTAAATAAAGTCAATTCAGGTTTCCTATGGTAAAAAATTCTTTCCCAAGTGAAAATCATCACAAAAATAGCAAAAGTCATTTTGTCACAGCTTATTTTCTCTCAAAATATGGGTTTTCATTTTTTTTTAGGGGTAAAATATTGAAAATGACTGTTTTATCATCACCTAAACTAATATCAAGGAAACTTTTGATCTGAACCCCATGAAACTAGGTATTTTCTGAAAGCAAAAGATATATTCTTTCATTTAAAAGTAAAATTAGCTGGTGTAAATGACTCAAAATTTTTTTCAGTGGGTAAAATGAAAAAAAAAATAGTGAAAATTTTGCATTTTTTTCTTGTTCTAAACAAATATTTTCCCCATTAATGGGAAATTAATTTTTTTTTTTTTAAATCAGAAAGCCTAAATCATAATCAAACTATTTCAGGCATAAAATTGAGAGTTTTGAAGGAAATCAACATTCCTAGGGGTTCAAAATGCGACAAAATCCATTGTTAATTTTCAATTATATGACTGCTAAGGGTTAAAAAATTGACACCTGGCCACGGAAATCTTTTTAGTAAAAAGGCAAGAGATTTATCTGCAATTCCTAACCACCAGAAACCAAAAGTTTTTTTCCCCTAAAAATAGCGATAAGGGAAAATAAACCTAATATACTTTGACGTCTAGGTCAAAGGCCAGCCAGCCAGCAATAAACGGACGGCAAACCTTAGATCAAGTTGTAATAAAACCCACCACTCCCAGATAAAAGCAAAGAAAAAAAAAAAAAAAAAAAAAAAAAAGGGATTCACAATTACTAGGGCTTCATATATAACCTATGTTTGAACAATGGCTTGATGAGTTTTGTTTGTCTTTAACACCCGCGACCCGGTGATGACAACACTTAGCAGCCGACATTGTTTTTTTTTTTCGGGCGCATATCTTTCGTATTTCCCATCGCCGGTCCATTTAGCCTTTCTTTTATTCAATGATGTTCATGCCAAATGAAAGAGAAAGGAATGAATTTTGAATGATGTTATTTTGAAGCGAAAATAAATATTTTTTTCATAAAAAAAGGGGATTTTTTCTCAGAAAATTGGGTATAATTTCTTAATGCTAACCGGCCGAAAGTGACATTTTCCACAGCCAAATCAAGATTAATTACCAGTGAATAATTCCATGTGCAAAAAATAGCTGTCTGGATCCTATAAGGTCGCCCCTAAAAGGTCCAGAAGTTTACTAATTGATCAAAACCTGTGACGCATAATTGTATTTTTCACGGTCAGTTTCCATTATTTCATCTTGATATTACCATTTTCGGACAGCCAAGTCATCAAGGATTCAGGAAAACACTTTGGCATAGGTTTTCTTTAAGAACTTTACATTCTATGAGGTGTTTAAAATGTTACTGACGAATGAGATTTTTTGCCAAATATTTCGTTTACGCGCCATGTTGGATTTTCCTATATGACAAAAACAAGGGCTTTAAACAGCTGTGATAAACAAACATACAAACACAAGAGAAAAATAGACTTACCTCTGCAATATCATCTGCTGATGGGTCTTTGTTGTCCAAAAACCATGAAAAGAAAGTCCGGTTTGGCCTCAGTTTTCGCTTCCGATCAGAAGGAATCATTTGTTCTTGAACTCTTTTTGTTAGATCCATGCCATCTTGCCAATTTATGGGTGTGGACTTGGAAGCTGGATCCCCTGAGACCACAATAGAGAATAAGCGACATTAATAAAGCCTAATCAGATTCAGGAAACAAGAACACACACACACACACACACAAACCAAATAAATAGGAACAGCAGCAGCAAAACAAACTAACAGAAACAGAAGACAATCGGAAAGATTATTTCAGAAGATTATACTCTGGTACAAAATTTATAAGAGATCTTTTCATACATGTTTAATCATAATGTCAGCTAAATAAATAATAAACACTGAAATTTCCCCTTGAATTTTTAAGTAAACTTAAAGTAAATTAAAGAAAAAATTGATTTTTTGCATGCAGCTACTGCAGAATTTACAAGTTTGTTAGAAGAGAAGATCCAATTAAAGGATCAATACTAACACGCTCCAATTTAAATGTACCAAAGATATCTCCAATATGGAACCATAACAAAATAGAGATAAAAATAACATTGTCTTTTTAGTTTTGTTTATTTTTTTGAGATTTATAAGAAACATTTTGGTTAATGAAGTTAACTTAATTTACTCAGTATGCAAAAAAATTGTATATCAGGCAGATTTTAGCCTGTTGTTCCAAATATGAAAATCTTGATAAGAATTTCAGTTCATACTTCTTTGTCAAAATTATAAAAATATCCTGAATGAGATATATATATATATATCTAAAAAAAAAATATGATGGGAATATTTCTGTTTTTAATAGTTTGTGAGCCAGCAGGAGAGTAACAGTAAACCATTGCTTTTAATTTGCTTATGCCTAATCAAGTTTACTACTTCCTTTTTCAAATTTGCACCCCTGCCACAACAGCTTAAATTCTTTAGCATTGCAGAATTTAGTTACCCTTTTCATGCAACTAACATTCACAACTGATCACTGTTGCCTAACCCACTGCACATAAAAATGTTCAAAAGTTTCATCTTCCTATTTATTCTGTAGTATCCATAAGGTACTTTTAAAAATAAGACTTCAATGCACGTTGGTAGATTTAAGTTTACACTTTTAACCCATTAGTATTCAACATGCTCAAAATCTGTATGCAGGAAAACACACACACACACAAAAAGGAAAAAACAAAAAACGTGTATCCACTATATAACCAACGGTTCTTGAAAATGACTGGGATGCTCAAAAGAAGTCGACCAAAGCAATACCACATCTACTTTGTACAGCTTACCCGGAATTTTGAGCACAACGCTAAAAGCATCTGAAAATTGGAAAAAAAATACAATAAAAAAAATTAAAACAGTGACTGCTTGTTCTTTTTAATCAATTTGTTTAGATAAATACTTGCTGCAAAAATGCTATTCTATTGTTCAACATCTATGATGGGGGTGCTGAAAATTTTCCAGTCCAACCTACTTTCCCAAATATCGCAATTTTGTGAGAATGAAAGGCTTGTTGGTAACGTTCTGAGCTTATCTGCAATCTTATAACTAAGGCTCATATTTTACCTTGTTACTCTCCTGTTACTCATAAGTAAAAGAGGATGATGAAAGCAAACAATTACTAAAATTTGTAGGATTACAAAATGTTATTTCTAAAAATTAAAGTATAAGACTCGTAGTGGTTTTCTTTGGAATGCATGCAAACATCAACATGGGTTATATAAGACATAATTCTTTGGCTGTTAAGGTTCTTTTAACAAAGACATGATTCTAACTTTTTAAACATTTGACAGATGTGCATTTTTATTTTACACGCAGAGAAAGGAAGGATAGAAACGTAACCAGAAAAATAAAATTGTCTTCATGTGCAACAAAACAAAGACAATTCTTTAGAACCTAATAAAATAATAATAATAAAAAAAATAATTAATTTACAAAGTTGTTTTTTTTTTCCTTTCTTCCTTTCCATATTTTCAAAATGTTGAAGTTAGTCTATGTTAAAGGAATTTAGACATTTACACATAGAAGAAACTTTGGACATACCCGTCGTAGCTAAGTGAAATTCCTTACACAGTACCTCATTTGAGAAATAAGGATTCGAAGAAGAAAAATGAAATTTTATTCTGTAGCCAGATTTGATATCTTCAAATTCTTCGACTTCAACCTGTAGAAGGAAAAAAAAATATAAATAAAAAATTTTTTTTTTATATAAATTGAAAAGTATTTAAATACATTTTATTGCAATTTAACTGTTAAAGAGAACATTTTATTCAGACAAAATGTGTGGGAAAAAAAGCAATGCTATTTGAAAATTTGAACCAAGATTTTATTGCAACTTCCACTATTTGCTTCATATTAAGAAATAAGAAAAGTATTGAGTTTTTTTTGTCAATTTTAGCTTACAGAATTCATTAGTTACAAGCTTAATAATCAAATATTATTAAAATTTTTTTTTTTTTTTTTTAGCTTCATTATAACCATTGGTTATTTCTCTGAACACACACAAAAAAAAAAAAAAAAAACCCCAAAAAAACCAGCATCACCTTTGAAGGAGGAACCACTGTCTGATCTAGCGTGTTTTTACTTCTCAGCTTTGAAGAGCCTCACAATAAAGCAAGGTTCTATTTTGACATCATTCAGACTTTACTCAAAATGCAAACAAAGCAATTTCTAAAGAATTAATGGATTTTAATTTTTAAACAGACATTTTTATTCAAATGGTAATTTTTAGTGGATATTTGTAAGAGAGTAGAGGTCTTACTTAACTGAGCAGTAAAAGCACACTGGATCAAAGAGGAACTGATTCAAATGCAGTTGAAGTGTGCATTTTCTTTAAATTTTCCCTATGTACACAGGCTGGGAGACAATAAATATTGTTTAAAAAACAAAACAAAAAACAAAACAAAAAACAAACAAACACTTAAAATAAAAATAGATTTCTCACTTTTACATAGGAGTAGAAATTTGAATTTGAGAGAATACTGGATGTAATAACAAGCTTGGTTTATGGATTTTAACATTTCCATATCAACAGCCAGCATGATAGCCACCAACAATTTGTTAAGATCATTAATCCTTACTATTAATACTATTCCCCATTATTTAAGATATAATTCTGTTAACTAAGATTAATAACGTAAAAATAGGACCAATGAAACTTAAAAATGTGAGTATTACCTTGACTATTTATATAGAAATGTTAAAACCATAAAACAAACTTGCCACTATGTCCCATAATCCCAACTCTCATAAGTGTTTTTTTTTGTTTCCTTCTCTCTCTCACATATATATATATATATATATATATATATATATATATATATATTACACACACAAAATCAAAATACTCAAAGTTCCATGTAATAATCATCAGTGATTATACTTGATTGTTATTATATGAAACTGAATAGTGTACTTCAATATTAATAATTTTACAACATATTTAGGCTGTTGACTTTAGCATTGAGCCATTAGTTTATTTTATATTCTATGCTTTTTTTTTGACAAACGTATTTTTTATGTATTTATGGTTTTTTTGTTTTTTTTTAAACTTTTATCAAAAATGACATTCTTGCACATGTAGTTATGGATAATATCATACATTACTAATTTTTTAAATAACTATTTGTGCTCAGTTGTTGACATTAATAATCTGCTGAGGTGTTAAAATTTTGGAATAATGCAATAATAAAAATTTAAATTTCATCTGATAGAGGTCAAAATCTGTTAATAGAAAGATATTCTAAATTACAAATGACAGTAAATCGTTTGATGAATGCCAAATATTTCCTTATAAAGAAATAATATTAACACTGCTAACATATTTTAATATAACTGAAGTGCTAAAATAAATAAAAATAAGGCATAAAAAAAAAAAAAAATTTTTATGGTAAAATTAATTCTTTTTTAAAAAAAGTCACTGCTATATAATAAAAATCAATTCTGTGGCCAAAGATTCCAAATTAAAATGAAATCTTCAACCCAGTCACAATTTCAATCAAACCAGTACTATAAGCTTGCAAAAACAAAAATGGCACTAGGATGGTCAGACATTTTTTTTCCTTCAGGATACAGTGTATTGTAAATACACAATAAAAATAGTGTTATAAAAATACCCACCAGCCCAAGGTATACAAATTATAATATCATTTGACAATGAAGCTTCTTTTTAGTATAGCATATGAACAGGAGTAAAATAGGAACACTCTTGCCTGCTTCTAGTTATGTTACTTATAGAGGAAAAACAAAAAACTGACCAATTTTTCAAGTCCTAAACACTTTCTGTTGTGACAGATAACAACCCAGCCATAGCCCTAGTTGCATTGGACTTGTAGTGCAGCATTTTTTTTTTTTTTTTTAATAGCATGTAATATAGAAACGGATTTAACTGTCCAAAACTGAATTCCATCTAAATTTAGTTATGTTTATTCTGCATTAATGTACTAGAAGAGAAAGGAAAAAAAAAAAGTGTAAGATTAGCCATTTCCATACAGGAAACATATGGCATTCATTGATTGAACATTCAGTACCTAAGGTTGAAATTTCTAAAATCCTCCTCTTAAAAGTTTTTCAGGAAAATAGGCTTCATCTTCAGTTATTGCACTTTGTAGTATTGATGTGAATTTCCTTAACTCTTTGTTTAAGGTAGAATGGAAAGTTAACATTTTGATTATATAATTTTCCCTTTTAGTTGTATGCAGTTGGCAAAGATGAAAGTTCCAAAATCACTGTCCCAAAACTACCTTACATGTCCATGGCCTTCATAATCAACCTTGATGAGGCTCAATCACTTATTCCTTGAAGCAATCCAAAACAAACAATTCTGAATGCTTAACTTTCAGGCAGGAGGTAAAAAAGGCTTTTCCTTCAACACTGCTATTATTTTTAACTACCTTCAATCAAGTTTTTTTTTGTTTTTTAATAAGCAAGGAACAAAATCTAAACAGATGAAAGTGAATTTATACATTTTGTTGTTCTTGAAAATTGGTTGTTCTTGAAAATTGACAAACAAAAATAAACATTTATTACATTGTTTATTTACACTATTATATTATTTATTGGAATGTTTGTGAAAACATTGGCTAATAACCAATAGATTCAGATTTTACAAATTAGTAAATAAGGATTTCATTATAGATGGTTCACATTGTAATGATTTAGTAAATGTTTATAAATTTATGAATAAGACATTGTATTTATATTTCTGCATAATTGATAAATATTGCATTGCCATTAGTTTTTAAAATGTAAATATAAAATTCTTGCAAATAAACAATACAATAAATGGCATTTAATGTTGTAAATTCTTTTGGAGACCCCCCCCCCCCACCAAAACAAACATTTTCACGCTTAGGTTTTTATTACACTTCTAATCATAGCTTTTAAAACTATAAACGTTGCCGATGTATATCATTAAAATAATAATGTCAAGAGAAAAACCATCCTTCCGACAGTTTTTTGTGGGCACGAAATTTAAACATTTCCAATTAATCATAGACACTTGCTAATGAAAACATTTTGTCCAAGTATACAAAATTCAGAATGGGGGTAATACAATACATTAACCATCTCAAAAGATACTACCATATGAGCGGCATTTGTTTGCGTCTTAAAAGGTAATTTAAAACCCCCTATATTGTGTCTATTATATAATACAAATTTCAAAAAACATTCTTTAAAAGATACAACCTAACTGATGTTATCCATGAATATCTTCATAAATAGATAATCATTTTTGGATTCACAATCGAACAAAGATTATTATATTAAAATTAAATTTATATGAAGCCTATATCTTCTCTCTCTTATCTTTAAATGTACTCATTAAAAAGGAGGAAGTTGGATTCATAGTTTTATGAATAGCTAACTTTTCTACTGAACTCTAAAAGCACCGATCATCTGCAAGTTTCAAAGAAGGAAACCGGCTTTTCTTTGAATACAACCAAGTCTATTTTCATCATGAAGTATTTAACAAACCTGTAAGATTAGATTGTGTGAAAGTGTCATAATCATGCCACTGTTTATACAAAACACATTTCCCCTTCACCATGAATATGATTACTCTAGGTTGAAAATGGGAGAGCTAAAAAAAAATAAAATAAAAACTTCAAATGTCATAGGACAATATTACATAATTTCAAAGATTTTTAAATAGCTTTTTTTCTTTCTTTTCTTTAAAAAAAAAAAATGAAATCAAATTTATCTTTTCTTTTTATGAGCAGACATAATATTTTTCGAACATTAAATTCACCAAACAATGTTTACCACTTTATATCTTTTGTGCAATATTTTAATTCCATCAACCCCAAAACATTTTGTTTTTCTGCAAAGAAAAACTCTAGGTGCCTTTTGAGTATTCCAGGGAATTGAATTTTTTTTTTTTTTTTTTTCATCAAGAGAATTTTTATATAATGGTAATCTGAAGGTATGATATATGTATATGGAAAACAAGTGAAAAGTTGTAATAAGTTTTGCTTAGTCACCAAAGAAATGTAGTCTAGAATTATTCTGATGGAATATTTATACTATTTTTAATGCCATACACTTTTCATCTGTTAACTGCTTCTTTCAAACGACTTAATTGGAAGCAGTTATTTGTTTAATTTAGAGTTATGGAGTCAAAGTTAGAAGCAATTAAAGTATCACTGGTGTTTTCTTATTTATTATTTCCTTTAAAGAAATTCCTCTCAATTTCTTTGTTAAACTCATTTTATTCTTTTGTAGTTATTTTGTATTTGCAAAACTATAAATGTAACAAAAAAAACTTACATTATAAAATTATTTTTGCTGTCTTTTACATCCTGTAAAAGATTATAGTTCAACTTCTGTTATAAAGTAGTTTTATTTTTGTTCTGTACTTATTTCTTATTTGCTAAGATATATATATATATATATATATATATATATATACACACACACATACATGTGTGTGTGTATATATATATACAAAAAGTCTTGCATTATAGCATTTTTATTCATTCTATATCCTTTCAAAGATTTTGTTTAACTTAGAAAATATTGAAGAATGAATAGGTATGATATAAAAGCCACAATATCTTTATTCTTTGATATAAACCAGTTATAATGATATAGGCCTACTCAAGTTAGGAGTGTATGCATTGGCCTCATGAGATTTGTAGGCCATAATCACATAATTACATAGAGGAGTTGGAGGTGCCAAAAATAGAGGAGTCGAAGGTTTTGTGTTTTAACTTTACAGCCTTGGTTCAATCCAATTCTTTGTTTATCAAGAAGCTGGTAGAAAATTTGCTTCCAATACTTATACATAACACCCTTTTCTTTCAGTAAAAAGCAGCCTTTGATTAGTGGTTCACATTAAATACAGTTTGTAAAACATTAAATTTATTTAAAAACCATAATGACTTTCCTTCCAACCAAATAATTAACAAAACATTTTGATGTAAATATCAATGTGATGGAACAAAAATACTTAAATAGAAGTTGAAAAAAAATCACAGTATAATTTAGCTAATTTCTTTTTGCACTTATTTCCGAAACTTTAATATTTTACCTTTTTTAAAATTTAATCTCTAAACATTTATAGTTTTTTTTTTTTTTTTTTTTATTATGCTAGCATACCAAATATGGCATGAAATCCACATATAAATGATAAAGATGTTGCAGCTCCAAAACTAGAACAATTAGTAGTTGAAGGCTTTGTTGAAAACACAACTGCTGTTATTTGTTACAGGAACTACTAAGGACAAAGTATGGTTAAGAAATTTTAAGTCTAAGTAGCCCTTAGAAAAAAAAAAAAAAAAAAAAAAAATTTCATTTAGATTTTGGCAAGTGGGAGTAGCCAAGAATTTTCAGGCCCTGTGTGCATGAGAGAGCGAGAGTATCTGATTAATTAGTTTTCATCATGCAATGACATATGCATAAAGTCAATGCAAGTATTTCTCAGCATGTTACAGGAAGCAGAAAACTACCAGAAATTTTTTGTCTACTTGGGCCTCATGTAAGCTAAAAAGACTTTCATGTAATATACTTTCGAAGAAAAAAACCAATGAAAGAGTTAGGCAAGTAAATGAAGGTGTAAGGTTTGTTAAAGATTAACCCTATTTTATGTTGGACACACATTTCTTGAAATTTACTTTCCCCACAAATAATGCTTAAAACAATTTAAAAATTGTTTATTACCAAGTTATCATTTTAACTTAACTACTATGGGCCATACTGGGCAAGCCCTGTGTGGCAGCCAGTTTAGAGGAGTGGGGAATACTTTGAATCCAAACCTGTAGAAAAGACAATAGGAAACAACGCCACTACCTTTTCTAAGAGGATATGGCAATTCATAAATAAAGAAAAGGAGTCCATGGAGCCATGATTACCTTAAACAAAGGGATGTGAAAACAAAACTTATCTTACACAATGCACCAAACCCAAATGCTTCCCCCATTAAATACTAAAGACTAAACATTATATAGTTAACATTTCAGTTAAGACAGATTAGGGACTTAACATACCCAGCTCTAAAGAGAGTAGCGTTTATTACATTAGCTGATTTCAGTGATGAATAGATTTTTTTTTTTTTGAGATATGTAAAGGATGGAAACAAAACAGGAAATATTCATTAACCCATTTTTGGGACATTGGAGATTACTGAGTTATAGACAAACCTTTAATTTACCGATTTCTTTTTTTCTAAGTAAAATAATCTACAATATTTATATTTATGTAAATCAGAACAAAATGTCAGTGAAATATATACAAAAAGCCCAAGTCAAAAAAACTCAATGTTAAAAATTAATTATTTTTTCTTTTAACTAGTTACAAAAATTATTTCCTGTTGAGGGTTTAAGTTGGTAAAAACCTATGCTGATAGATTATCCACTCCCAGTTTTAATTTATTAGAAAATATATTCAGTTTAAATACAGGGGGTGTCAAAGATAACTTGAAAGGTTTGCACATTTTGGCTTATACTATTTTCCTATTAAAAAAAAAAACTTTTTTGTTTCCAAACTTTGATTTTATTACTCAGACCAGGATAGGTGTTGATCAGACAGATTGGAAGGCTAATGTATTCCAATGTTTTTTTTTGTTTTTTTTCTCTCCAAACAAATTTAAATTGTGTGTGTATATATTAAATGATGCAAGCATATGCAAAAAAACAAAAATCAGGTTCTTTTATAAAATAGGGTACCCCCTAAAAATTGATATGTGAATATATAACTAACCACATGGTTCCAGGCAGCCAAAATTAAATAAGCTTCATGTTGAACAGTAAAAATTTATCAAAATTCAAACAAGATATTCAAAGGGATGTAGGTTCCACAAGTGTTCAATATGCACATCAATTTGTTTGTCCAGCTCCTGCTAAACATGTCTTGCGTAACATTTTCTAGCACCTCTGAATAAGTTCTCCTAGGCCCGTAGGAAGAGAAGGGTGGGATATATAGACTTGTCCTTTCACATAACCCCATTCGTCTTCCTGGTAAATTCTTATTAGGATAAGTCTGCCCAGTCAACTTTTTTTTTTTTTTAGAAAATGTTAAAATTTGAGATCATTTGAGTGAGAATTGGCTATGATTATATATATATATATATATATATATATATATATATATATATATATATATATATATATAGAGAGAGAGAGAGAGACTGTATAAATACTCTTAGAAAACTACATGAAATGTCATGATTTATATCCTCATACTCGCAAAAGTTATAAACAAGAAACAGAATTATATATGGAAAAATTTGTACATACCATATTCAAGTAATGTAAGCATTCCTCCTCCTCTTCATCAAGAATAGCAGAGATCTGTGGGTGGTTAACAAACTGAGAACAATGTTAAAGGAAAAAAGAAATAAAAAACCACTTGATTTTTATTATAAAATAAAAATCATGAATACGTCTTGATAACAAGTTACCCAGTGTTTTTTGTTAGAAAGAAAAGAAATTAGCCCTCACCACAGATGTCAATTTTATCCAAATCATGTGAGACAACACATGCATATTATAATTCTGACATCTTTAAAAAATGTTGAACTTATCTACTTTTTTCTTATAGGGTTTAAGAAATGAATTGTTTTCTCCATGCCTTTATGATTTTATTGTTTAGTACAGGGTAGGAGTTGTCAAAGTTCCAGAAAGGTACATTGTATTTTTGCAAGATTTTTTCAATAAAGACAATTACATTGTAATGAAAAAACTACCAAAAAGCTACTTAAATATCTCCCTATGTAATTTAAATTAGTTTCTGAAATAAAGTATTTTTCATATTGGAAATATGAAATTTAATCTATTAGCCCAAAATTAAAACTAAAATAAGTTTCAAGAAATATTTTTCATTTTTGAAAATCCATTTTATACCTTTTTGTGGAGGCTTAAAGGCTTATGTAAAAAAACAAACAAAAAATCCAACCCTCCTTAAGACAATAGTCCCCATTAATACATAGTATGTATAAAAGCAATTAAAAGCTTGTTTAATTAAATAATGTCTTAGTTTCATTGCATTTTTTATTTTACAATTCAGAGCAGAGTTTTGGTAAATGATTTAAATTGATGATTTACATTCTCCAAGGAGCCCTACTGTTAACTAATATAAATATGAAGCAGGACAAAATTTAAATAAGTCGGTACGAAGTTCTTAAATGTGCACACATTAAAAAAAAAAAAAAAAAATTCATCTCGGTACCTCCACAAAAAATCGGATGCCTTAAGTTAAAATTAAATTTTAAAAAAAAAAGCTTTCTTGAAGCTTTCATTTTAGCTTCAATTGAAAGCTACAAGATTAAATTTCTATTTCTAGTAAGCAAAATATCCTAGTGTATTTTAAACAGAAATTATACTGCCCGTGAGCATTGTTGTCAAAGCAGGCCATTTTTGAAACATTTGTAAACACAAGTTAGTCCTGTTTTAAAAATCTTGCAAAAATAAAATGCTTTTCTGAAACTTTGAGTAATATTAACAGATTTAAAACATTTACTTTAAGTTTAAAATAGCTCAGAACAGTAGCTGTGTTTAAGCATTTGACAAGGTGATGACAGATCTAATATTGTTCTACAAAAACTTCATAATTTTCTCAAGTACCCAGTAATCTTAAAAATTTAGAATAATATTCTCCTTAATCTAATGTTTCATTGAATTTTAAAAGTTTTGGTTTTAAATTTAATATAGTTAAGGCTCTTATTTTCTGATAACATCACGTATGGTCAACTGTACTTATAATAAAAATCAGCAATACACTTAAAAAAAAAAAAAAAAAAAAAAAAAAAAAACTCAAAATTCTTTTTAAAAATCTTGGTGTGTGATTTGTAGTAAGTTTTTCTATTTATGATTTGAGGAATATAAGTTGATTTAAAGTAGGTACCTCCAAAAAATTCGGTATACCCAAGGTTTAAATGTATTTTTCATAAATAAAAAATCGTTTTTGAAGTTTTCCCCTAGCTTCAATTGAAAGCTAAAGGATTAAATTTTCTAATTCCAGAAAACAAAACACTACTGCATTTCAACCAGAAATTATGATTTTAATCGATTCTTCTGAAAAACTAATCGAAACGGCCATGTTTAACTTCTTTTTTTTTTTTTTTTCAGAGAAATGTAAACAAAAATAATTTTTTGTTAAAAAAAAACAAAAAAAAAAAAAAACGCCTAAAATAGATTTTTGAAACGTTACTTTCGTAAAATTAGCAAATTTAAAGTTTAATTAATCTGTTTAATTAAATAACCGAGTTATAATTAATAAAAATAATTATCTGTTATCACAAATGATAGCGATAACACTATACTTTAAAATTTAATTTAGTATTTATATTTTTTTAAGATCCTATTTTTTCATTTTATTCTTTATTATATTTTGATGTTCATGAATTGTTAAAGTTATTTTATTTATTAAATGTTTAAAGTACTTAAATTTTTATTACTTAGATAATTGTACACTTATTTTATGTCAAGGGCTTTCCTATAGGGGGAGACAAGCCTTGAAACGTGTGACCTTTTAACCATTAATATCACTTGCGAGACACCATACCAAGAAATAAAAATAAACATCTTGACGCACAAAAAAAAAAAAAAAAAAACCAAAACCAAAAACTTTTATGGTAAAAAGTTTTGGTAGCATTATTTGTATTAAGCTTTTAACTTTCGCTTAGTAAATATAGCCTTCATTTAAAAAACGTAATAACCGACCAAATGCGCTGCATGAAAGAATTTTAAAACATTTTTGAAAATTAAACAAAAAAAAATGAAGAAAAATAAAAGAAAAATGCAAACAATTGTTGTAAAAATTCTATATCCATCGAATTTTTTTCTTTCTTCAGATAATAATGTCCTTAATGTATATTATTTATAAAAGCAAATAAAAACTTATCTAATTTGATAATTAGATAGTTTATTGCAGTTTTTATTTTTACGATTTGGAGCAGATTTTTTTTTTTTTAAAAAATGGCATTAGTTGTGAAAAACAAAATTGGTTATTTAATTTCTCCAAGGAGTCCTAAAAAGAAAAAAAAGTTTGCAAACTTTTTGAAATTCTATAAAATTTCATAAAATTAAATTTGGGGGTAGTAACAGATGTAAAAAAATTACCAAGATTTTCTAAAAATAAAAATTTCAATAATAAATTCATTCATTTTTGAATAAGTTCTGAAAGTTTCATTTTAATTAGACAATTATTTGATTTTTGCAATAATTTCAAAATTAATGGGTTCTCCCCCGAAATTGCATTTTGCGAAGTTTTGGAGGTAAATTTTTAAAGTATAATCAATCTGATTTGGAAAAAAAAAAAAAAAAAAAAAAAAAAAAAATTATTTAAGTTCAAAATAACAGAAATGTTTTTAAAACAGACAGTAGATGTGTTTTTAACCAGGTTTCACATTGACGAGACGATAACAGAAGGATTATTGTTCTACGAAGACTTTGTTAAAACATAATTTAAGAAAATGACATTTTTTGTTTTTTTAAAATATAATTTTTAAGTAATGACTCAATGAGTAATCCTAAAAATGTTGGAAAATATTTCCGCATAATTTCAGAGAAAGTGACTTTAAAAATTATTATAAAGTTAAAAAAAAAATAGTAAAAATTCATTAAAATCAAGACAATAGTCAACCCTTAATAATTCATAAAAGCAATTAAAAACATTTATTTATGTCAGTTTTATTGCATTTTTTATTTTACGATTCGGAGCAGATTTTCGGGAAACGAGTATAACAGTGGGAAAAAAAACAAACAAAAAACGATGATTTAAATTCTCCAAGCATTCCTGCTTTTAACAAAAAGTTTTGGCATGAAAATTTAATTTTTCGAAACTTTATAAAATTAAGTAAATATGTACAAAAATAACTAAATAAATACCAAGATTTTTTAAAACAAGAAACTATAAAAAAAAATTCCATTCATTTGTGAATAAGTCCTGAAATTTTCATTAAAATTCGACAGTTATTAAATTTTGCAAGAATTCCAAATCAACGTGTTTTCCATCGAAAAGAAGGCACTAGTGGCTAAAAAAAAAAAACTAATCGGAAATATTACGTCGACCGCTAACGAAAAAAGATTCTTAACCAAAATTTCGAGCGTGCTAGAAAGGTTTAAAAATAAAATGTAGAGGTACCTAATTTCATTCACTGTATATTGGCCATAAGTTTCACACACACACACACACATATATATATAAGAAAAGAAAGAAAGAAAAAAAAAAGGCGCTTAAATTTTATTTTACTCTAATAATCTCCCCACTGACCAATAAAATCAGAATACTTTGGTCTTTCCTTTAACCATTTTGACGATAAAACTGTTTTTATCAAGTTTTAGAGCCTTTTTCATCGCGCTATGCTCCTTTTTCAGTAAATTATCGTAGATAAGAAATATATATATATTTTGAAAATAAAATATAGTTTGTTGCTAAGAGAGAGAGAACTTTACAAACTACGAATATCTGGAAGTGAGAAAGTATGCCCCAACAAACGAACATTAGTTCATTTAAAGAAACTCAATCGGAAAAAGAAAAACTCGTGTTACATGACAATTCCAAGTAGAAATCTCAAGGAAATGAAAAACACCTGCTTTTTTCTCTTTAGCACCGAAAATGAAGCAAACCAACAGAATAAGGCATCCATCCTATAGACTACAAAAGGGAGAAAAACGTTAATAATTATTAACGTGTGCAGGGGCCAAACGTCGTTTTTCCCTCCACAAGCTAAAAAAAAATAAAATAAATAAAAAAATACAGTAGTGGAAGCGAGCAGTCAGTCGCCATAAACTAGATTTCATAAAACCCGCCCAGACATTTAAATGGATGATACAACACACTTCTTGCACTATTAATTTAAAACTAGCAAGGATAGGAATTGAACCAAAGATTTATTTTAAAGGGTGAAATTTACAGACGAAAATCTTTTAGAATTTATTTATCTTACATCTTAAAATAATTGCCCTAAACTGTTAGAAAGCCTCGCTAGTAACGCGAATAAAATCACTTCAGTTCAAACTTAGTTCAATTTTTTTTATTTTTAACTTTATCGTTAAAATCTCCTTCAATGAATATTCAAACTTTAGGAAACACCTTTTTTCCCTACTTTTAATTTAACATTTTAGCCAATTATAAAAATTACGACCTTGGGAATGATTGGGGGTGTGAACCCCCTCCCTAACAGTTAAGTACAAAATTGAAACATTTTAAAAGCCATCCCCGCCATTCATTTTGGCAGCATAATTTTAATATTGATTAATACCAATAATTAATTAAGTACTGACTAAAAAAAATTAAAGACTCGGAGAAATAATGCCACGAGCGTCTTTTTGTTACTCAATTATATACACAACTCTGTAAAGGTTTGGTTTAATTTTTGCATTTATTAGCCAATCAAATAGCATTGGGCATAATTTTCTTACTTTTGCGCCTATTTAAACGTAAAGAAAAAAAGTGGTCAGAACAGTAGATACTATTACTAGGTCATGGCCAATACTTATAAAACGCTGGTGGTAAGTAAAGATAAGTAGTAGTAGTAGCAGCAGTACGAGTTAATTAGCTGCTGCTGCTGATATCAGAGAGAAAAAGGGGAGAGCATAGGGTAAGTTTGCTGCTGCTGCTGCTATTAGATCATTTATACCACAAACTCAATAACACAATAATACCCATCATATTCGTACAAGCGTGCGCGCATTTTTATATATATATATATATATATACACACAGATTTCAGAATTTTTTTTAATAGTTCAGTTATATAGATATTATAGAAATTGTATCGTAAATGAAAGCAAAGCGTTCGACATTTAAAGTTTCAATCACCAGTTTTCGATGAGAGAAGAAAAAAAACACAACAATTAAACTATTTAATGAGGAGCAGATCACGAATAACAATCAATGATTTCTAATTTAGGAACTCTACTTTAACAAGTAGATAACGTAAAATAAAGACTATTTTTTGTCAGTTTCACTTTTCCTATTGTGTAAAGTTTTAATGAAATTCACGATGTTTTTTTAGTTGAAAAATATTTAATATTCAATTTTTTTTTAAAGTCATAAACGTTTAATTTTTGTTCATAAAGGGAAAACTAAAGGGAAAACAGTATAGTAAAATGCTGTAATTTTTAGTTTAGCACATAACGCATGCCTCCATTTTGTTTAATAGAAACACTTTTAAAAGAACATGGAATCCATATAAAATATTATAAATAAATTCATCACAGAAAAATACGTAATTCATGTTTAAGATTTAATGTGAAAATACAGTTTTAGAACATGAGATTTGTTTAGTTTTTAAAACGATACCGTGGCGACCAACAGTTATTTAGGGCATCCTTAGCAGAGGCGGCGAGTTATCTCCCTTAGCTACCTTAGTTCCACATGATGAGACGGATTTTCAGAGACAGATCGCGTTATATACCTATCCGTTCCAGATAAAACAATATTACTATGTAAAGCAACAGATTTCATTTAAAAACCTATATGTTGCAGCATAGACAATTTCTCTTTGAAAGGTTGGAAAGATGTTAAAAAGTAAAAGACTTGTGTAAAAAATGAGTTTTTTCCCCCCAGCTAAATAAAGTAATTGGCTACGAATCCAACATAGCACGTGTCTACCAATTTTGGTATCGGAGAATCTAACACTTTAAAAACAGCAGATCTAATGAAAATCTGATTTTCAAAACGTTTTACAACTACCAACGAACAAGAAAATAGTTATTGCACCGAATAAAATAATCTATAACCACGAAGAAAAAAAAAAATGAGACAAATGGGTAGTTCAATTAAAACGTGTGTAGGCGAGCAAATAAATTAGTTGAGAGAAATCGGGTAGGATCGGGAACATTATTTAAAATAACATAAATGAAGCAACTAAAATTGTTTTTAGTGGTACCGGAAGCTGTTTAATGTAAAGAAAAAATATATATCACCCTCATACTGTGGAGATACCCGGCCTCATGTTTTTAGGTTAAACTGGGAAACCAGTAAGAAAATAAAAATGAACTTAATCAAGAAATGAAACATGGTAAAAAATGATTTCGAGAAAAAAAGGCATTAAGGAAAAAAAAAACAACAAAAAAAAAAAAAACCTGAAAAATATCATTAAAACGCATGAAGAAAAAAATGATCATCGAAATAATTTGTCATGTAAAATATCAGTTTAAATAAACAAACCAACAAAAACGTTGCATGTCATTATGGAAAAAGTTTATGATTATATATCTGTATATATAAAATAAGTGTTTCCTACCATGTTAGACGTTACTACCACGATACCAAGGAGCACGTTTTCGCGTGGCCACAAAATCGGGGAACTATTTTTATGATTCATTTGTATAAATATCAACTACAGCATGACAAGCGAAAATTAGGGAAATTCCATCATTGAAGGGCTATTTTTGGTGTAAGGAGTTTGCCATGTAATGACAAAAATCCAATAACAAAGAGAGTAACAAGATCGATCACGGTCCGATATACAACAGTAGTGATGGCGATAAACGAACCCTCACTTTATGTCCATTGAATTAAGAAGCGTCAGATACTTTTCAAATTACTCTTTTTTGTTAGATTATTTTATATATAAAAGAAGTCTTTCCAAACAGTTAAAGAAGTCACCAAAAAAAACATTTTCTTTTAGAGGAAGTTTAAAAAAAAAAAAAAAAAAAAAAAAAAAAAATCAAGCAGTAACTGAGAATCGAAACCCGAACAGAGGAATTTAAGGGCAATATAGATTTAAAACTGACCAAACCACACTTGATTGATAAAAGTAAGTAGAATTAGTTATCAGAAGAAGAAAAAAAATTAAAATATGACAAAACAATGAAACAAAAAAAAATAGTTAAAAGACGACATTATGTCAGTAAAAATTAAAAGTAAAACATATTGGATTGGAATCTATAAATGCCGGACGAAGTAAATGAAACCGTAACAGTGAAACTGATAGAAAAATGAAGGATGAACAAGCATGTCCAGAAATATAAAGAGAAAAAAAAGTGACAAAATAAAAACCATTTCATCAGAAATAAAATGAATAAGGTGAAAAAAAAGGATACTGCTGTGACCCAGAAGTTTGGTATTTTCTTGATCAGCTCGTTTCTTCGATCGAAATAGGGTTTTCTCAGTTTGTTATATTTCTGTTCGACTCTGAGGATTTCCTCGCTGGCTTTTTCGTTCAAGGCATCAATTTCATTCTGACAAGAATCGATGTCTTCCAGGGCTTTTTGGGTTTCGCTATCGAAGTCCCGACTCTCTTCTGCTTCAGAACTCGCCTCAGACACGGCCACTTTTTGCATCTTTCGTGCCGGTCCCGTATCTGTTCCTCCCGATTCCATCCTCAATTCCCGTTAATCAGTCAATAAATGTGATTAAAGAAAAAAATTACTTATGTATAAATAAGTAGATATTTACCAAAGCAACCTCCACGCCAAAGTGGAGAGACTGGAAAACACCGTCAACAAAGCTTCCCTTCAATCAAAAGCGCGCGTGAAGACAAATGTAAATATATCTGTGTGTATAAATACACATATGTGTAAGCGCGTAGGTATACAGTTTTATGTAGGGTATATAAACATATATATAGATACTTATATGTATATAGGTATCTATATATACATATATATCGTGTATGCGTGTAATGTGTCTGAGTGTGCGAAGTTAGTTATGTGTGTTACTAAAAACCTCGTTGGTGCTTCTCAGTAGTCAGTCGTTATTCCTCCGTCTGCAATGATAGTAAATAGTGCGCTATAGCTTCTGCTCCGGTGCAAAATCCACCGTGATTATATTTTTCTCGTTTGTCTCTTCTTATTCCAAATCAATCAGGGCAAAATAGTCTCGACTGATTTTTTTTCTTCCACAAACAACAAACGTCTGAAAAGTTTGCAGAGAACCTTTTGCGCGAATACGCACGCCTGACGCGGGAGCGCAAATCAACGATGCAACAACACAGCTGATTAGTCGCTGACTAAGAATGGCGCCATCTCGCTCAGGCTTCAACCAATCAACGCCGGGTTTACAGTGGCGAGGAGCCGACGGTAAACATCCGGGTACTGAAACCTGTGATCAAGATGGCGGAAGTTGAAGCAGAAGAAGAGAAACGGAGTTGCGTTGGCGAAGTTGAACCGTTGGAATTAGCTTGTAAACAATCCGAAAAGGCCGAAGAATCACCAGCGGTAGGCCTCGACAACCAGAAACTGGCCGACATTGAGCAGGTGGATGAAGTGACAGCAGCAGGCGTGACAAAACGAGATTTGCAAAGCTATCGAAATCTGCCTGGTCTTTTGTCGCCACATGCAGCCGCCCATGTTGCGAAGGACGGCGACGTCGATGACGACGACGACAACAACAATAAGGCTGCCCCCGGGACGACTTCGACAAGCATAATCGCTACAACAGAAAGTACATCATCATCGCCCGAGGCCAAGAGACCCAAATTGACCAGTATAGGTTCTCCGGGTCAGCAGCAGCAGCAGCAACAACACCAACAACAACACCACCACCAACAACAACAACTACAATACCAAGTGCCGGACCCTTGCGCTAGTCCGGATTCCGGCAAGAGGAAGAGAATTCAACATGATTATCGTCGACTGTCCAGTTCTGGATACATGGATGACTATGTTGGAGGAAAAGAAAGACGATTTTCGTCGACCAGTGACTCTGATATGAGTTCATCGCCCGCATCCCCGAAAAGCAAAGGGTCCGCTTCTTCTCCCAAGTCAAAAGTGAATACTTCGTCGAAGGTCAAAATGCTTAAACGTTCCCCCAATACGTCTGACTCCTCCGTCAATGGATTACCTTCAAACAAAGGTAAGAAGAAAAATTATACATAAGATTCACCGTGCCCTTAGGAAGAATACAACGCGTAACATTTCTTCACTTTTTGTTCATGTATATGTATTGTAGAGTTAAAAATAAAGCAAAGATAGTGACTTCTTTTTGAACAATAGCGGGTTACGAATAAACATCCAACCAGTTTATATAACATAACTCACCTGCTTATTAGTATTATTATTATTGTCATTAAATACTTTATTTCTCATCTCTCATTCATCCCCTCCCCGAATCTCAAGACCTACCTTTTGCTTACGTAAAAATATATAACGCAGTTTGTTTGTTTCAGTACTATACTGACATTAGCTCACACCAAAAATGTAGATGTCTTGCTCGACATTTTAATAAATTTTCGCCTCTTAAAGCTAAACAAGATCCAGTGAAATGTTTAAAAATCCGATTTTATTTTTTGTATTTTCGGCTCTTTTATCTTTTTCGATATATCAAATCTAAATATGAAATCAAACTATATTTTCTTGTCAAACGTTTGTCTTCGTGGTTAAACGTGACTTTCATAAAAACAAGCATGTCCGGTCGGTCGGTTTGTGAATAACTGTTTTTGGTGTTTACACATGAGTGTGTGATTTCTTGCACTTTCTTTTTTAAGTTGATAAGGAATGTTTTTGAAAAATGATTTTTTTTTTCATGAATCATGATCCATAAAATACAACAAACTAATTTTTTAAGTAAACAGCAAATGTTTAAAAATGTTTTTAAGCAGTTAAATTTTTGTTTCATGACTGTAACTTCCTTTTAAATAAAATCATGTAAATAATTTTTAATCAAGTATTTAACGACTATTTAAATTTGAACGTTAAATATTAAAAATATCCTTAAGTTAGTGATTGCAACAAATATGAAATTATGTTGAGTTGAGAATAACAAAGTATCCAGTTTTAGTTTGAACAACTGATTGGGGCTTCTTTTCAATTTCAATTCATATCTTTTCAATAAATGTGTTTTTTTTTTTTTTTTTTTTTTTTAATTTATTTATTTATTTATCCAAAAAGTAATCACTTTTTTTTTCCGGAGAGGAAACGAATTTATTTTCCAAGTATCAATACTGTAAAAGTTTAATTAATGATATTTATGATAAAGTGTAAATTTTGTAAAGTTAATTAATTCCAGGAAATAGAATGGAATACCTGACAACTTGACAAGTGTACAAATTTGTTCAATCTTCGGAATCCTGGTAAATTTTTAAGATTTTCCAAGAATTATTAAACAGCTTTTGCTTTTCTAACAATGACAATCATGTCTTGATTCTTTGGAATTTAATTTTTAATGTCATTGACAATGACTGAATATACCTTCTCAATCTTTTTGATAATCTTATTCTAGAATTTGTTGAGTCATTAATTCACTCTCAACATTGGTGGCATTATGAATAAACTTTGTTATGATTCATCATAAACATTTTTTTAAATGGCATTTTTATTATTTTCATTAAATCAAATTTCTTCATTGTAATCTTTATTTTAAAATTAATGCTTAAAGACTAAAGAGGTAAGAGCTGAGTACTTTTGTTTATAAGTTTCTTGTCAACACCATTAACTTAAAAATGAAGGAAATGGCATTTTTATCCTTCATTTAAGTTGTTAATTTTCTCACCTAACACTTTTGACTTTGTTAATATTTTTCTCTCTAAAAACTTATCTGTCCTGTCCCCAAACTAAGTTAAAGCGATAAAAAGCTTGAGAGACAAGTTTGTGGGTGGTTCAGTCTGTTCTGATGTTGATATTCAATCGTTGTTTGAATTTAGGGGTCGGGGGATGACGTGAAAACGTCAGACGTTATATCCAAGAAGTAGTTGTATTTGTGCTCCAACTCCAGTCCACCTCAAACTATGTCACATGAAGACTGACTGACTCCATGCAATGTTGGTCATTTTTGTTGTAGTCTTTCTTGTTCAACGAACAACTTAAACAAAACAATATGAAACCACCTCCATTGTGCGTTTCCTCTCTTCTTTCTCCTGACAACACAAACAGCAAAGGTATTTTCCTGTCGTCCGACTCTTTTTATTTTATTATGTTTTTATTTCCTAGTATTTTCGTTGTCCCGTCGGCGTAGTTAAGTGAATAAAAATGCTACAGGCTTTTCGGGGTTGAAGGGAAGAAGAGACAGTGTGCGTGAGAGAGAGAGAGACGGCCATGTCTTTAAAACGGTTAACATTAACAATATCAAATCATCAGCCAATAATGTCCTTTTAAGTTCACTAAATTATCGTCCATTACAAATCTTTAAATAAGGTTTGATTTACTTCATATTGTCTTCTTTCCAATCATATTTATACTCTTCGCTTTTAAATAATTTTACCTTTTTAAAAAGAAATTTCTCGGAAAATAGACACATCTGCATTGCTTTTAAGTCAAGTGTCATTGAATATGGTGAGTTTTTATTTTTTAAGAAAAAAATGTTTTTTGATATTTGTTTAAAAAAGCTTACCAAAGTGAACCTCGATCCATTATTTATTACTACTACTATTACTTTCAGAGTAAAGAAAAGAAAAAAAAATGGTTAAAGTTAATTAATGTGAAAAATATTATTACGTAGTTCTATTTATTTTATTTTAATTTTTATATTGCTCAATTAGATTTTTTACAGATAGACCAGAGATCTACAACATATAATTCATACATCTAAATCAGAAAATGATGAGTTTTACTTTTAGATTGGCAAGTGTCTGGTTTTATTTAATTAAAAAAAAAAATAACTACATTCTTTGCTTAGACAGACATCGAGTTTATTCATGTATTCAATTTTCTACCAAAACGGGAACTCTCCAATTTTTGTTCCTTGTATTTCTTAATTTGACGATTAGTAATTTTTTTTAACTTAAAATATTGAAATTAGTTTTTTTACTATTTAGTTGAAAGATTGTAGTATGAAAATGAGAGAGCATTTCCCAAAAACAAGAAAAAATATCTTTATAGTGCAAAGATGTTCAACAAGGGCCCCGTGTTTAAAAATTCGTTGTTTTGGTTGGGAACATTAATTCATTGATCATCATGTAACAGTGTGTACATAATTTGCGTATATATAAAAAAAAATTTTGCTAACTTAATGTTACTTACTAAGCTCAGTTTAGTTTTAGTCTGAAAGCCACAAACATGGGGTACTCCGTGATGATCCAACTCTCTATATAAGTAAGATATTTCAATCAATAGTAATGATTAATGAATGATCAACCACAATAACCCACTGAGGCACCCGATGAAAAGAAGTCTTTAGTTGAAGTCTGGCGTCTCTTTCTTAATAATAGCCTGATTTCTTTCTTTCTTTTCAGTTTTCAGTCACTCACTCTTTGACTTTAACTCATCCCTTATCAATTTTTGTTATTGTTTATTTAACAAATATTTCTTTTTAACACCTGATATCCAAGAATGCATGATAATCTGCTAGTGTTAAGTAATATTTGTAAAAATATGTTGCACATCATTGGGATTAAAAAGTTAAGATTTACCCCGTGGGTGGGATACCTGTTAATTTCATCCTGTCACTAGTGGTAATTGTTTAGGCTAAGTTATTTAAAAAAAAAAAAAAAATGTAAAAATAAGTATTTCTAATACAGTTTCCTTCACCTTGTGGATGACTGACGTAGCACAATCTTCTTTTGACTTTGTGCCATCTTAAAATATGCACATCCTATTAGCCAATTAGATGTGTTATTTCCTTTTTACTCTGATACACTATAAGTTCTGTGTGTTTTGGAAACAACCAAGGTAAGTATAAAATGTCAAGAATCCTAGTAATAAATAGTTTTTTCAGGTATGCCATTTCCCACTTACAACTCTTAGTACAAAAAACGTTACACACAAGGAAAAGCAAATTACAAACAATACATGGCATGATCTTATACTTTAAGTCTGTATTAGTTGATTATTATACTATTTTCATAGCAAAATCTTGTTTACTATGCTAATATTTAAAATAACAACCTTTTTAATGTTTTTAGAAATGCATAAACTTAAATGTATAGTTTTCTTAAGAAAGATAAACAATAATTCATTTGTGGTTTATCATTAATTTGTAGACAAGTTTAGGCATGTTTGTGCATTTTGTCACTGAATAAAAGATTGCTCCCAAGTGAGATTTGTACAAGAGGAAAGTACCTGTTTCTTGACTATATTTGCAAATTTATGCCAACTCCAACTTTAATAAAGAAATTAAGATAACTAGACATTATGAATTTCTTTTCTAGGACTTTATTGCATATTGGTTGGTGACAACTGCAAGTGCTTGTTTCTTATGCACCCCTATAAATAGAAAATATTTTTGTTGAGTATATTGTGAGCATATAGATATAAACAATTTTTTAATAATTTAAAACTTTTCATAATCAGTGTTTGTGTATTTAGGCTTTTTATCATAAAAAAGTTGTGTATGTTTGTATACAAGTGACAAGATATATATGTTTGTATACAAGTGACATTAATATTTTTTATTGTAAAAGCAAAAAATACTTCTAAAAAATATCAACCTTGATGGATCCTAAGTATAATATAGTTTCTCTGTCATTACATTTTGTTTTTAATCATTTCACTTTAAGCGAGGTAGTAAAGCCACTAAGATGCAAAGGGTTACTGAGTGAGATTATGGGAGTGAAATAGCATTAAGGAGAGAGAACACTAAAATAACAAGAATTATGATGGAAGATAATGATCAACATCGCATTTAAATTTTTGAAGATCAAAATTGATTGGAAAGCAAAAAGTGAGAAAGGATTTACTCTTTTTGCATTTATAATGCTTTTTCTGCAGTATCTAATTTGAATATGTGAATCACAATTGCAACTTATAAAATTTGCATCTATGTCTGCTGGTACAATTTCCCCAAAAATGAATATCTATCTTTTATAGACTAGTTATTTGTATGAAATATCCAAATATCTACCTTTGTATATGTAGTCTATGGGCTTATGTATTTTTCATCCAAATTTGTAGATGTGACATTACATATGGTTTAAATCAAAA